CTGGATCCCCACAATTTTAAATGGCAAAGTAAAGAATTAACATGCAAAACCATACGTTTACCAGAATTTCGTTTTTCGTATAAAATCCAATTTATGTCAATTTATAAGTAAGCGTGATGGTCTCCCGGTTACAGCATTTCACCGTCGCTGTTTGATGATTTTTGACCCCCCATGTCTTACTAAGGGTAAAATAAATTATGTGGGTAATAACGAACAGTGAACATTTCCACAAATTTAATATAGTATCACCATATTAGGCCACCGCCTAACCATGGGTGCAGTGAGGTGAACATCAAAAATTCCAATTCTTTCAGAAATAGTAGATTGGTATAAACTATTGGCTGATTGCAAAAAGCCATTTTCATGTGTAAAATCATCTCATAAAAAATAATTGACCTATACTAGTGTTATCAACCATTTCATGGCTTGAAGTTAATACTCTGTCAGTTTCTGAATTTTAGTTTCAAATTCAAATAAGTTGACTTATGCAACGTTAATTACAAAATCATTCTAATTCGAACGCCGATTCATTTCGCGCATCAATTTTTACTTGTTCTGCATTTTGAGCAGTTATTATGGCGCAATAATGACATTTAAACTTCGCCAAAAACACATCAAATGGGAAATTCTATATTTTACCACGTTTTGGGCAGTTTCCAATATCCAAAACACAAAAATCGCATTACTGAGTTACGCCGACACTTCAAAGCAAAAAATTTATTTTTCGATTCATTTTCCCGCCAAAATAACCGCAAAAAAGCTATTTCGTATATGATATAATAATGCATCGTTAGAAATATTACACCATTATGAGTATCAAGTAAATTAAATGTACGTTATGGTACCAGGTGCAAACTATGGATAATTGTACACAAGGTGTATATATAATTTTTTTTATTTGAACAAGAACTTTCTTTGGGCCTCAAAAAAGTATTATATAGAAATATATATATATATATCAACATACATCGCTTTGTTAGATAGCCGGGAGGCCGGGCTAGTTTAAATATTGCTCAACAGGGACAAATTTTGAAAGTGTGAAAGCCAATTAATACACTTACAGTATGTAGCGGTATGGCCACACAGTTGTGGCATTGCTAGTCAAAAAATAGACTAGTATGACTAGTGTTCAGTAGCAATAAATTTTGATATGAAATAGTAGAAGCCAAGTTCGAGAGTTTCAAGACCGAAGAGTTAAAAATATTAATCCAATTTTAAATCAATATTCACCAAAATATTCTAGAAAGGGTACAGAAGTATAAATAACAAAAAAGTACGTTTTCCCTCATTTTTTTAAAGTTTTGTTTTGGGATTAAAGCCCTCGAATTAATATACAGGTATAACGAATCTATATACTGTATATATATATATATAGCCCAAGCTTATATAGTCTGAAATGTGCCAGTGATATGACCAAACCGGTCACGCTATTGGCTCATCAATAAAGATAGTTTTGAGTAATCGACGCGTCTAATACTAAGACACGTGAGATAACAAAAGATAAGAAACTGGCCAGGGGATTACAGTTGGTCAGTCCTCAGATAAGGTTGAACACTGGAATGTCCAATTTCAAGGGTTGTCCCGTAGTATGTGAACCAAGATGGCGGACACCGGAATGTAGTATGTGTACCAGGTTATGGTTAGGTCATAATTTCAGGTACAAATACTACCGGAGACACTTGGCTAGACCCCGAACTCGTAATAGAACTAAAATAAGGACAATTGGAATAATATTATGGCCTGGTACACATTCTACGTTTCCGCGTCCGCCATCTTAGTACGCATACTTCAGGAGTACCATTTCAAGAATATTGTGCTGATTTAGACAAGTATCATCTTTTTACAAGGTGTTTTCATGTCATCACTTCGAACAAGGTTCTGTAACAGTATGTTCCCAAGCTTTTCATCTTAATGGGGGGGGGGGCAAATTTAGGGGGTGGTAGATATTTTGTTATCAGTGATGAAACTATTTGTAACTTATAAAATGGTGGTATGTATGACTGATCATATGAACTTCATGTAAGCCACTTTCTAGATATTCAAATACAATTTATGTTACAAGCTAGGAAAAATTGCTATGTATGATACAGAAAAATGCTTTTTTTTCACATTTCAAAATGGGGTTCGACCCTCAAAGTCACCCCCTCTGACTACGCTCCTCCTGCTACCCAATTAATTACACTGGGCGAGGTGCTGTAGAATTGGTTCAAAATGCGTGATATTTCACCCGTGGTGGTATCATAGTTATGCCTAATGACCTTTCGCTCCAACTATTTATGGACCAATTCTTTAAGACAGTACGAAGACAAATAAAAATATTTTCATTATCAAGCTTGAAATATTTTCTTCAAAATGTCATTGCTAGTTAGAGACTTATTTTTATATGGCCGCCTCCCTAATACGCGTTAATTAACCAATTTCACAAATTCCATATTTCATTCTCAAAACAATTTTTCTATTTTGATAATTTTATTGAAAAAATACTCTATAATAAGATAAACAATTTTATTTATAAAAAGGTCAGACTAAAATTGAATTTGAGGCCTTAATGAACCTAGTTAATAAATTCCATAATTTTGTTCTCAAAACAATCTATTTTGATAGTTTTGCATCCAGCATTGTGGCTCCAAATTCTTGACCCCAACGGCACTAAGTTTTACATATCTTTACCTTCGAATATAATCAGCCCTTTTCTTACGAATTGAACAAAATTGACATTCTAATTGAGTAGTTTTAACTAACTATACGATATCTATGTTTATCTTAAATATAGATAGGCCTCAACATCCCTGATATAATTAGGATATATACCCGATAAGATATTTTGTTTATTTACTGATAATAAAAGCGTTAGTTGTTGATAAAACGTGATGTGTATATAATCTAATAGTTTTGTGAATCATATATAAGTAACCAAGAGTTTCAAGATAGGTATATTATACTTAGTGTGTACGGAGAAAAATGATTGAATTAGAAAAGCAAATTATGATCTGTACTCGTATTACTAATAGTTTTATATAATATATTCTCATACATATTTAGACAGAAACAACAATTAGGTGTTATATATTGGATTTTGCATGGAATGGCGTATTACAGCATTTCTAACCGAAGAATAGGATTGTCCTAGAAAAGAAATATTTTACCATCTATTTGCGTGTAGTATTACTAATATTTGACGGGACTTCAATAGTATCGTAGTAAGTAAACAGGAGGATATTGAGTGGTTACATATGCAACCTTGTTGAGATTTGTTCGGGTACGTGCAAATCCAGCCAGCGTTGCAATGACGAACAAGTTTATAACCAATTTAGTGAGTTAAGCATCAACGTAAGTCAACTAGAATAAACCAACAGAATTTATGAATCCAACCACTGCTCTGAAGAAATGACGAGGAAGATTTTCAAATCGATTGGACAAACTATTTTAAATATCCGACTAGCAGAATCCACAATATTTTGGTCATAAATAACAAATTAAGCACCTGCAATTTTGAAGGCACGTAAGATATTTTTATGGAAAATTGAAATGCGGACACCATCGCGCTACCGTTTGTTTAGGGAATTAATAATTCTCGAAGCATTTGTTATATTTCAATGTAATTTAAATTCTGACACCATTTATTATCATACAGTGCTATGCTTATTTGCGGCAGAATAGGAATGTAAACATAACTGGTCCGCTAATTAAAATTCGCCAAAGTAAATAAACTATGATGAATCCTCACATATGGTATTAATTAAAATAAAATACTAATTTGAAATTCCCAACCAATACGCGGATTTAACACTTTAACAACGGGTATCGGTTCCACTATAGTGTTAATTAAAAAATACATAAGCGTGGAAATCGCACCTAAAGTTTGTCAATTTCAAAAATGGAATTATACACAGACCGACATAGTGTCAACTTCTGATCTTGGGAAGTTTGTATTAGCTTAGTGTCGCTTCCGTTAGATTGGGGGCCTGTTCGCTTTACGGTTACGATAGGAGAGAGATAGTTTCAGAAAGAAACGAGAGAATGAAGTAATTAAAAGAAATAAACTAACGGGTGGTAAAAGGGAGAGAAAAAATGCGAGAGAAGTATTTATCGCCTGTATCAGATGCATTACTAATCAGTTGACAGTTGAAATCTTTTAGTGTCAGTTCGCAAGAGTCCGCGCTATTTATTTCAAAGTTATATATATATATATATCTATAAGTATTTGTAGGGTAACCTATAAAATTGTATAAACTATGGTTAGATTGTACCTATAAAGTATTTCAATATTAAATTGATTGGGATAGTGCATGTTTTCAGCTTTCAGTTTTTTTAGTGACGAGACTGCTTTTAAATGTAATGGGTTTAAAATCGCTAACGTGAGCTTTAAGCAAAAAAATACTGAATTGTAACATGTTTATTGAAATTATCACGGATGTGTAATTCAGAAGAATGCTAAGTAGGTAAATGACTTAATTTGAAGTTCGGCTAAAAAATTTAATTACTTGAATTCCGCATGTTTTTGTCGAGGTGCGGTACATGAGCTTCGGTCATGGCTGCTTGATAATTCGGCCTGTGTGATGAATCAATGTACGCTTTATTACGTCAGAAAAGAAAACTTGAGTGTCTTGTTATGAGGTAATAATATCTTTTTAACGTGAATAGTATTGAATTTAAAAATTTAAAAAAAGTGATTGAATAAGATTTAAATAATGAGTAAAGAATTTTAAGGCCGTACCGGTACGTTACACTCGACAGAAACTAGTTTCAAAAAAAGAACTTTTGAGTTTTGAAATACCTTGGATAAAATGCAGAAATGTGCAGCGCTCTTTTCCAGTTTTCCGTATGCTGTTAGGCATGTCTTGTATTCTGGCATTTCAACATACAGCTGTACAGACTATTTGATATGTATTATATGGCATTTTACTATTATTATTTTTGAACTTTTATTTGGTTTAAGTCGGCTTCGTCCTAAAAGCATTGATATTTAAATAGGAAAACTCAAATGCAATCGCTTGTAGAGAGCATAAGACAATATAATGAGATAATTCACCTATCCATCCAGCCATCACTCAGTTCAGCAGTTTTGCAATTCCTGAATTCAGAAATCGTTTACCATTCTAAGTTCAGCTAGAAATAAACAAAATTGAGCTTGATTCTATAATTTGAATATTTTTACGTTCGTAACCCACTAAGTGTCTTAAAAACTAAGTATCCCAGTAAATGATATTAGCAAATTTCGGGAGAAACCAATTTTAAGGATTTTGGCATTTTTGTCTTATTACACAATTATCCTAATTGGCGTTAATTTAAAATTGAAGTTCTGTGGTTAAAAAGGCGGAAATCTATTGTCAAAAGTTGTTTAATTGATTTTTAGAAAAACTTAAATTTACCAATAATTACCTTTCAATTTTCAGAAAAGTAAAATAGTCGAAACTAAATTTTTATTTAAAATGGTTTACTTCAATTTCAACATGAGGAAGGTACTTAAATTTTTATTGCTTACGGCCGTTGTATTTTATCTCCTCGACGCCGGAGTCGATGCAGGAAAATCCCGTAGACGAAGAAAAAAAGACCGGCGTTCAAAACGTACCGACGCCGAAAAAGAAGCGAGGCGAAACCGCAAGGAACGAAAAACACGGGAAGAAAACTTCGGTACCGAAGTGAATGAAACAAAACAACCCTTTCCTACTTTAGTACAATTATTAAGGTTACAGCAATTGCAAGGACATAAAGATAAACTTGAACGGCCCAAGATTCAGCCTTATAATTATGAGGAATTCGCTGACACTATGGTGCAACGATACATGGATAAACGAAACGAGAAGCCGACCCAATCTGAAGAAATCGCGACTGTCCTTCCAGTTGTAAATGCTCGCGTTGATTTTCTAATAAAACGAGAAAAATCGAAACATTTTTACGAGCCAGATTTGACAACAAGTAGCGTCCCTGCTACACAATTGGGACTCGTTACAGTCCACTCAGCACGCGGGAAATACGGGCTCCATTCCCGCCCTGACCCAGTATTTGGACGCTTGATTCATGTTATAGATGCTGAACGCTCCAATTCAAACTTTGGGTGCGGTACGGCTATTGCTAATAAGCATGAAATTCCCCAAAATGACGAGCCATGGATCGCCCTTATCCAGCGAGGACATTGCGCATTCTTCAGAAAAATCAAACTTGCCGAACGCAACAATGCATCTGCCGTCATAATCTACGATCACAAGGAGGGGGAAGTCCCGAAAATGAATACGATAGGTAAGAACATTTACATATTTCAAATTAACTAAATGAAAACTTTAATGGCGACTTTTCGCGATATTTATTTTAATACTATAATGTTCGTTCATTCAATACGGCTTTACGGTTACGACAATATTCGTTCAGCTATATCTCGCTCAAATTGGACTTGTTGCGTTGCTCACGGCTTCACGTTCACGGTTTTTGACCGGGTTTTCATTCCTAACACTTCAAATTTGTCTTGATTTAAAAATATCTGATAAAAATAAATTCAAGGTTTGATTCAATTTACAAATACTTAACAAAATATATTTTAGAGTGATATTTCCAATTACCCAAAGTTTAAACAAATCGTATGAAAAATCATTCCTACAACTGCTCTTAAAAATTATTTGCCGGAAATAACTTACTTTTCTCCCGAAATAAGGTATTATTTACCGGGTCCTATTTCGTTGGCGTGTTGAATAGCCCTCGTCACGTCAGAAACATAACACCGTTTTCATGGCGTTTCTGGCCTATGTATATTAGGGGTAAAATCTTATCTAAAGCTTGCCCCCGCTTTATAACGCTGATTCAGAATTATCTTAGAGGAAAAAGTAAATTTAACTTGCTTTGAAAGATAATTTATGCGTCGTTTTTTTAAAATTTCACTCCGAATTGGGCTCAGTACAAGTAGCAGGAGTTGGCACATTTCGCCCAATGGTCCAAATACCACAAATTTCGCTAAATTCGACCGAAACAACAAAAAGTAAAATAAAAATTTCAGTTCTCAGCGACACCGAATTGGAAACTTTCTAGTCTTGCATATAATCTCTTACTAGGAGTAAAAATATCAATCAAATTAACTTCAAATTTCTGATATTACTTTACGATTTTTTTAACGGTCTTGTTTTGACAAGACGTGGGTGATAGAGCATGTCTATAGGAACATATCTTAATCATACTTCAAAAGATAAGAAATTATTTAATCACCCGCCCGTCAGATTTTTTTTAGGTTTTGAGAGTTTTAAAATTTGTAATATTCGTAAGGAAAAATACATAAAAGTTGAAGTTTACTGCTCACAGTTTTTTTTTTTATAGTAAGTTGACTATTTTTTAAATCAGATATATAAATCTCGTTAATGAGAATATAAAGGGTGTCCAAAAAAGTATCATCCGATTTTATAGTAACAACAATTTAAAATTTCTTTGTTTTTGTTTATTAATAGTTTTTATATCAATTATCTTATATTAATAGTTCTCCTTTATCATACAATGAAATTTATTTAAACCTATAATTGCTATTGTTATTACTATACCGTCGGGCGAAATTTCTTGGGCACCCTGTATTATATATATAGTTAAAAGTGACTTGCCTTTACTTTCTATTCATTAAGTTTGTCTGTACATACATTCGAAATGCTGCCTAATCTATAAATACCCAGTCTTTAGAAGTATTTTTCGGTTAGAATAATTTGATTTCATTTTTTTTATGTTTTCGATTTATTGAACAAAACCATAAAACACGGCGCCAACGACTTGATTTGCAATTTAATTTGGTTTCCTTCAAGCGATTCGGTGGCGTCCGCGTTCTGTAATAAACTTTTATGATTAACGGTAAACGAAACGATATTCCCGCCCATAAAATTTGATTGTTATATTACCACGCGCAAACGAATATGGGTTAAGCACATTGTTTCATCATAAAACATGCGTGATAGCTTTATTACGTCAAAATCGGATTACTTAACCCATATTTGTTAATATAATTTGGAATAAGTTGCCATAATTAAATAAACAAGGAAAAGGCAAACGGAGGCCAATAACAAGAGCATAGCACTAATAACCTTTAGCTAATTATAAAAATCAAATTTTTACTACCAAATTTTTTTACCCCCCCCCCTCTCCCATATTTTTGACTTAGGTATTCTATATTCTGCTTTGACTACACAGCTTTGTATTAAGTAGGACGGCATATACAGGTGTCTAATATATTATATATACATTCTTTGATGTTGCGTATAAAGCTGTGTAAATAGATATACCCGCGTATGAATATATTATAAAGTAGGGCAGGCTGACAGTTTGATTTCACTTTTTGTGAGAAGCTGTATTTGCGTATAGGAACGTAATAGTAAATAGTATAGAAATGTATAGTATTGGTATACAACGTACTTTACTTCTATCTAAGGAAGTATGCGAAACCTTTCTTCGAGCAAATTTGAAAAAAAAAGGGTTCGTATGTGCACTTTGTATTAATCAAATTAGACGATTTTTTTTACCTAAATATAGACATAATATGTAAACCAAATCAGGTCCTCGGGTGGCTCGGGCCTCACACGTGGTTTTACATCATTATTCAAACTTGTCCGTATATAGTGATGTGACCTTTAAGCGTGATGAGACAATTTGACTTTAGCTTCAACCAGCGGCTTGGTTTAATAATTCCGCGTATATTCAGTGCTGTTTTGCTTGCAACAGAAGTGTTGCAACCTTGTTTTGAGCGACTTTGTATAAAAGAATATGCGTTCGCTAGCAATATTGTACATATATTTTTCTTGTGATGAATAATCTAAAATAAAGCCTTTTCGTATATATGGTTTATATTCGTAAAGTATCTGGAATTCCTTGTTATATAGTCGGCCGCGCACCACATAAACACTTATAAGATACACTTATACAAATCTCCTTTTACCACTCGGTATCTTTTGATGCAAAGTATATTGGACAGATGGAAATCAGGGAAAGTTGAAAACAAAAAACTTTTTTGATATCACACACTTGAATAAATCTCTTAGATACATAGATATATGTCGATAGCTCATTTTTCTAGGAACGGATTAAAATATTGAGTCGTGAAGTGTTTTTCAGTGAATATCAAACGGCGATGTATTTTGATGATTTTTGCGGGGATTTAGGAATATATGTCAATGGCGTAGTATCTGTTAATCTACCGAAACAAGTTTATTTTGCATTTTCGACCAGCGTCGGAAAACTGAAAAAATCTAGATAAAATAAAATGATTATCTAGCGAAGTTATTCTTAAAATGGCTGATAATATATGTATATTTAGAAAGTTATAATTTAAAATTATGTAATATAAGTGAATGTCTAAAAACAATTATATTTTCGGCTTTATCATGCAAAAATTGAATCAAAGTAAGTAATGGCATTCTTTAATATTCGAAAATACATGTCAATGCGTGGGGCAATGATTTTAAAGTATGTAGAAAGTATACACGCAATATACATCATTTAATTGTCGGCATATGCAAATATCGTCTATTTGAATTTGAATACAAAAGCGCGGGAAAGTAAATAATTATGAATTCGGAAGGATTAGTGTTCGCATCCTCCAAATCCTTTCCTACTTGGCGGATAAGAAAAGGCGCGACTTCAGGGATTATGCAAATCGCCTTTAGCATTATAATCCCTTTATGTATATTCACCTTTTACATGAGCTTTCCCTTTAAACAATAAGCCCTCCCTTTAAAATTCAATAATCTTGACCTAGTTGATTATGATTTAACAATGGTTAATTATGATCTAACAATGGATTCGCAAATTAGCGTCTCCGCTGGGAAATTTTGTGGCGAAAATCGGGAAACTAATTGTGGCGTAATAATTAGCGATATTGAATATGAAAGCTGTCTCGATAGCGGAAGCGCCGCGGGAAGTTGTTATTACATTGATCACGTTAATTCTTTCAAGAAGTGTTTAAATAACTTAACAATGATGACATTAGCTTAGGAGTCTTTATCCATCATCCCTACCTTTTTTTATTTATGTGGTTATGTGGGGCTGGCAGAGTAGGGATGCTTAAGCCATTATCTCGACTTGAGTTTAACTCGCCAACTTTGAAGCTTATTTTAATCCACTGAAGGTTAAATTACAAACGAAATTTCCTTACTGCGTCGTAAAAAACGAAAAATGAGAAATATTTTTACGTAATTTATGTGACTTTTGCGCAACAAATATAAAACTATACACAGAGTTTAATAATATTTAACAGCAAACAGTGAACTCAAAGGTTACGCGCCACAAACGCTCAACGCAAACTTTGCTATCTTGTTCTGTTTGTATTTAAGCTTTAACACGATAAGCATGCACCCGTCGCGTGACCCGCACCTTCATATTCGTTGATATAAATTGACCCCAAAAATGTTATTTGAGGCTTTAGTGGCAAGGCTTTAAATATAAATTGCTTGATTGCGACATACCATAATTTAGTAACATACACTTTTAAATCCAAATCGCAAATTAAAAAAAATCGTAGAATAACGAGTGCAAGCGAACTGAAGTTGTTACTTTATTTATAACTTTAAAATTTGGAATTTTTCGAAGAATTGACCGACGCCGAAAATATACCGGATCTGTACATTTAAATACCTTCAAATAGAGGATTTGGCCATGCCATGCATGGTTCGGGTCTAAAACATTGTATTTTGATTATGTTTTAAGTCAATACCATACATGGCCGATTATGGCTATTCGCTCTGAAGGCGCTAACAATTAACAGAGCTCATTAGCCTTAAGCAAGCCGAGTTATCTATGCAATGTTTATCTTAAGCCCACAGAAATGTCTAAAATATGATTAATGAGAGAAATATAGTGCACTTATGTAATTAAATACTGATATGTGGGTCGATAAATCATATTTTGATTGTTTCGGCGGAGTCCGCCCTTTCATCTTTGAAAACTAGCATTGTTTCGATGACATACGCGATGAAACAAATGCAAAATCATGTTCAATACAAGTTTTGAACCAAAATATCAATCCCATAGAAACGAAGGCTAATTGGTTACTTCTTAACCACTTTCATTTAGCATTAATTCGTTGGCGTCCGCGCTTTCACTGTTTTTGTTACGACTACGTCTGCCCATTTATCTTACGAAATATAAAATCATAGTAACTCGCCGACGTCTGCGCTTTCAATATTTTCAGTTTTGTTTGTTTCGTTCACGTCTGCCTTTAATGTTTCGGATTTTGTTTACTTACAAACACATTATTAATTACTAGTAATTCGTTCGCGTCCGCGCTTTTGCTATATTTCAATTTTATGTTTCATCTACCTCCGTCTTTAATATAGCTGTGGATGTTATTTACTTTTGAACACAATGGTAAGATGTTGTTTATTTTTCTCACGAAAACGACACACATTTGGATTTATTCCATCACGTTGTTAAACGACACTTCAGCTAAATTTTATCCAGCCTAAAAATTTTGTTTTTCGTTCACAGGAACCAATATCGTGTCTCTCGCAATCAGCAAACACGACGGACGTAAAGTAGCCAGACTCGCCGACAGCGGGACAAAGGTTGTCGTTAACATTGATGTCGCGATTCCAACGTCAGACAGCACGACAACACCAGACAATTCAGTACATGAAAGGTTACTTTCCACAGACGGAAATTCATCTGTGACGAACAATGGAGCTATTATTACAACATTGTTCGCTGCTATAATTGCAGTTTTATTTCAAACAATGACGTCATAAAACGGATTATTACGTCAACAGACTCATTTCGAACGCTTCCGCATTGATATCGGAAACGAACGAACTAAAAAAATTCGAATAAAAAGAGTTTCGAATCGAACTCCGAAGTAACGAATTATCTCAATTAATCCGAATCTCAACGAATACGAACTATCACACGAGTATCCGAATTTTGCATGCTACAGGATTTTATCAACATCTGCTTTTCTAACTTTCTGGAAGAATAAAGCAAATGCAAAAAGGTAAATATTCATTTAAATAATTTTCTCAAATATCAAACCCCGTGCCCACGTTCCACCCAGGGTGTACTAAATTGGCTAGGCAATATCAAACCGGAAAGATTCCAGTTTCCCAAAATAGTATCCGCTTTTGCAGAGCTCTCGGAGTGAAATAGTCTTGTAAATAAAAAAAATTGAATGGGTGTTCTGAGAGCACATCCTAATAACTTAAGTAATTCATCAGATAATTAACATCCAATGAAATATTAAGTAATTTGTTCTTAAAAGGCTTAAGAAAAGAAAATTGAAGGTGAATTATCCTAGGTCCAACCAGGTCACGTATAGTTATTGCGTTAAAGCTTTTATTTAATTAAATTCTTTTTTCTTCTCAGGAATGAAAATGCTCGAGTCCGCTATGATCACCCACAACGTTCAACTAATACTTGAAAAAGGATTTAAAGACCAATAGACATCCCCGCCGTCTTATCAAACCCCCAATTTCGTGCAACAATGGGGCTTGTAGAAACGTCGTATTTCGATGGCTTCATCATCAATGAAGTTTTTCTTATTTTATCGAGGAGTCGCCAACCCCCCAATTCAGAAAATAAAAAGAAAAGACAATCTTCAGGCAAAATTGTTTTACTCAAATCACCCACGACAGAAGCCCCCGGTCCGTGCTACAGCTGAGCTGATAGAAGCGTTTAATGAATTCGTCATTTATCTAATAATATATAAATATCAAAAATAAAGAAAAGACAATCGTTATAAAATAATTTACTCTCCGGTATTCGTCGTAAAGAACGACACACAAATCCGCGCGCCTCTCGGTCCGATTTTACAACGAGCGTTGACTACATATGAAAATTGCTATAAAATATGATGCTTTATAGTTAGTGTCTGGTATTTAGAGTTGATAATCTTCCAATTTTTTTGGGGTTCCCCCTCCCTGATTAATTTTTTTTTCTCAATCCACATTAATTTTAAAACTTTACTTTTTGATTGAAATAACATACTATTGATTTTTATTTTATCAAAATTTTATTATTTTCAACGTTAAACTATTATTCCAACTAGACAGACAATATCGTTAAATTATCATCATATCATACATGGTCGTAGATTGTAATTCACATTTGAATCTACGTATGATGTCATAATAGTCTGCCGATATTTTCAAATCTATGGATTCAGCCTAAAGACGCATCAAACTTGTATTTTTATTATTTTTTGAATTTTTCGCCTTTTTTGTTAGTTTTACCGAATTTTTTACTTTTACGATGTTCCTCCCTCATTAATTATATTTCGCACTGTGTATTGTGACGTCATGGTGTTATTGTTATTACTATTCTTTCACGCATTATTTTGTAATAAAATATTTCACAATTCACAATACATTTTCAATTGCCATATTGTGTGTGGGCGGGGCTAGGACAAAGATAAAATAGTAGGTGGTTGGTCTTAAGAGTGTACTTGGAAAGCGTTGCTTCAGAAGTATTTATACCAATATAGGGTGACTAAATTTGTTCGCCGACTTAACATCAAGTTGTGTAAAGAGACTGAAACCTATGGACAGGGGGTATATTCACTTGGCTAACACAGACAGTCACCGAACTCGTGAAAGAGCTGAAAAAGAGGAAAATCGGAATAAAATTATGGCCTAACTCTAACCTGGTACACATAATACGGGAGTACCTAAAGAACATTTATCCTAAAATGGTTAAGAGTGATTTCCCCACATCCGTATAGAGATTAAATCCCCTAAAATTTCAAACAGCCGCCTGATTTAGGGATATGATACCACACTGTAATTCCTACTTATGTATAATTGTATTTGAATATCCAGAGAGTGGCGAATATACCAGTGCAGATGGTCACTCAAGTTACAAATAGTTTCATCGCTAATAACACAATTATTAACCATCCTCTAAATTTGTATTTAAAATATATATTCAATATTTTACTATTTCAATAAGTAAACGAATCTTTCGTGGAACCCCTAGGTTACTCCCACAGAGCCCTGGGGCTCCGTATGGAGCGATTTGAGAACCTATGTTCTGAAGTATAGCTCCCAAACGAGCATATACGTGTGCCATTTGTATCATGCGGGAAGAAGGGTAGTTTAGATATATAGGGTGTCCATAAAGGCTTGAAATTTGTTAAATTGCAAAGGGAATTTATCGATACCATATAATGTTTTGGCTTTCACAGATGTTTTAAATGAAGTAAAAATACTTCAACAATTACTGATTGAAAAACAACAAACCTGGTTATATTGAAATTGTAAATGGACTTCATGGACACCCTGTATACGACGAATATTTAGCTTGCGATGAAGACGTGTGTTAGGCGTATCTTGGTCTATATTTCGCACATACACTTGGCATGTAGAAAAAACTAAAAGACATTCACTATGATAATAGAAACATCACTTGGCAAGATGAAAACTATTCAGACTTTTACATTTATTGAATTACGCGTTTAGCAACACCATAGCGCCCTCTATATTCAGTTTATACTCAATCCACAAAATCTACCAAAGCATATTTTTAATGAGTAAGCAAAACTAAATTACAGTAAAATTAGAGCAAATTTAACTGCATTGATCTCACAGTAAATCTGGAAAATGTAATGTCAAATCACGGAGCACAACGGTCGCAGAGTAACCTACAATTTATCTAAGCTCACGACATCTGGAAACCATCAATTACTGAGAGTCAAACAAGAAAAATTCTTTCGTGAAATTTGTGCGAAAGCGACGAAACAATAGATATCGCTTTGTTAACTTTTACGGGTACAAGTTTTTACCAAGCGATCAAATTTGTTGGGAAAGCAAAATAAAACTAGTTCGCAATTATAGTATTTAAGGCATTTTGTAAAGTATACACCCTCTTTGATTTGTCATGTTCATGTCATTTGCGGCTTGTTTTCTTACCATTTAAACAGCATTTTATGCCAAATTTCACTCGGATCTTCGCACTATTCACCATTTTTTATACCATAAGAATTATTAACAACAAGAACAAATCTTAACATACCTCAGCGCGTGAATTAAAATGTATAGGCACCCTAAAAACCTATGGTACTGCTATACATCTCTTTTCAAAGCAGGGCACTGGAATGGGAGCATAAATTCATCCTTATTCCTAATCCGCTTTTTAGAAAGCAGTCCCTATAGTGAGCAGTCAAAGATGTTTGAAAAACAGAACACTAAAATAAACTTTTACTATAAATAATTAAAGTATTTTATAAAATATAAAAAAAGCAAATATCTGAAATGACCACAGCTTTTTTCTGTTTCTAATTGAGGAATATAAACATATAAATTGAGTGATCGATTCATTACACTCTTGGTAAGGTTTGGTAAAGAGCATCTTGTGGTTGCTGCTTTTCAAAAACTGATCTGCGACAAGCGATCGTTGTATATATATATATATATGTACATGACACAGCGCTCTACCAACTTGTACGGGTACAAATTTTAAGCAAAAGCTCAAATTTGTTTGGGAGTAGCCCTCCTTACCTACATAAATTCGTGAAAAATATTCAGAGTTTGGCATTTCATGCACTAACTTATAAAATAACAATTCAAAGACAAAATTCACTATCTGCGAAAGTAAACAAAGTTCTAGTGAAGGGGTAATATATATTGTATATATTTTAACCTGTCTCGCTGTTTTTCATTAATTTGAAGCGTCCGTGTATTTTTCGATTTGTCTTCACATACTTTCATTTGAGACGTACGTCGACACTACTTCTATATCTTTTTACAGTATTCTATAACAAATTTCACTCCGATCACAGAACGCAATCACCATACGTGATATATATATTTACCTAAATAGTATGAACAAGTAAAAAAAAACGTTTCTAGTACCCCCTCCTCTTCAAAAATAACAAATTAGTAATCATCTAGTTCTGGGGTTCCCAAGCTTTTTTTCAGGACGACCCCAAAGACAACTTTCAAGTGTCCAATGCGACCCCAGGTCAATATATATGTTTTTCATGGAACTTTGGAGCTTCTTTCACTGGACTTTTGAGTTTGGTCATGTGGTGGTATTAAGTAAAATAAGTTAAAACCAAACAGTGATATCATTTTAGCAACTACATTTGCTATAGCATAAGTGTTAAGGACCTTTCCTCGACCTTTGACCCCCGAAAAATTCTTACTATGCTTTACCATTGCATTTACTAAGTTTTCGAGGCTTATTTTAAGAGTGCTTTTGCGAGTTGGCGCCTGTCAAATGGGGTATGTGTTTCAAACCATCATCATGATTTATCGCATACAACAATCTGTTTTTTAAAAGTACCGGTAAAGAATTTAGTCTATCACAGCTATTTCTACACAAATTTTTTTTTACTGTAATTAAATCAAAACTCCTAAGAAGACAAGATTGTTCATTGAATTATCTGATTTATATTTAAATTTCCGAAACACTACTGAAAACTAACGAATAGAGTTTAAAAACGCGAAAACAAGGTAATGTTTACGACCACGTCTGAAAATCTGTCTGAGCGGATGCGAAAAGGCAGCATTGTTACGTCACTTTTTGCATCTTGCTGATTGGCCAATGTCATGAAGTATCTACGGAAAGTCCATAGAGCGATGTCCATGGGCCTGTTTTACATAAGCCATGGTACAAACTGCTAAATTTGACATGGTTTGTTAAATCTTAGATGTTTTGTGCATCCATCCTCTACCATACCTCAGCGACCCCATGATCTGTTTGCGACCCTACCTATTTATCACTCCGACCCAATTTGGGATCGCGACCCCTGGTTTGGGAACCCCTGATCTAGTTGGTCTAAGGCTGGGAATGATTTGAATTTGATTCCAGCGCTATCTGCATTCCTAACCAAAACTGGACAAAGTGAGTGTCATACATTAGTGGATTAGTGTGTGGGGGATAACTGGAAACGGCCCGGAAAAAGAGTAAACATAAACTTCATTTTCAGTAAGCATCACAAGCCCTCATAACACAGATCTCATTCCGCGATAGAGCTTTTTCATTTAATCAAATAGGACAGATTATTTTGACCGGTAGTACAGGCTCTTCTTGCGAGAAAAAAACCTTATATACAGGATGTCCCAAAATAAATGAAACCCATTAATTCGATTACCAATTTTGGGGTTCATATGTTTTGGGACACCCTGTATATAGCCAATGAGATCATTCAAATAACCAATTGCCGATGGCATATTTTAGAGTTGTATAGTTTGCTTATAGCAGTGGTTCTTAAACTTTTTCGAGCGCGACCCAAATCTGAGTTTTATGAATACTCGCGACCCAATCCTAAATAACGCAAAATGTGTTAGTGCAGTTTGACTCAAATACAGACAACTATTTATTAGAAACAGTCCATTGACTCAGTGAGATTGATGAAACTGAAATTTCCTTTTCATTATATCTTCAATACACAGCTCTATTTTACTTAACGCAATACGCAAGTTGTCACGGGTATCGAGGCGATTGCGAGCTTAGTTTTGTTAACCGTCAGTGCCAAATATCCTCGCTCGCACAAGTCGCGAATTGTAGCAGAAAAGGCGCCCGCTGTCCGTCGCAAACACGACATCCTAGCTTGCCTTCGGTATCTCTCGCAATATACAACTTTTTACTCATCAAATGTACACGCACTGCTTCGTTCGCGGTAGATGGTGCCTCGAGATGAAGTCACATTTTCTCTAGATATTGAATAATCTAATGTCGAGAAGCGAGCTTTTTCATTGCGTCGTCTATTACAATTTACATTACCAAAAAGACACCCATTTTTGGTTATTTTAATCCACTAAGACGACATTCCACGCGGTCAACACAACGACAAGCGACGTGCATGGTTATTGGTTACCGATACCATAAAAATAATACACGTGACTGGCATATCAGAATTGTGATGTAACAATGAGCTCAAGACAGTTCTTTCCGTGAATGAAATTTTATATTTCATTATTTTTAAATACCAGAGTTTAGAAGCTAAATTGAAACATTGGGAAAGCTGAAAATTCGTCCTTCTCCTCTTAGATTGCCCTTGCATTGACGACCTTGTCGCGACCCATTTTTGAACCTTCCGCGACCCATGTTTGGGTCGCGACCCATACTTTAAGAACCACTGGCTTATAGTTTAGCTATGCTCAAGGTATGCTTTACTCGACTATAAGTGCGACTAAGCTCCGAATAACACAACGATAAAACGCAGCCAATTTCATGCATTTGAAACGAATATTTGATTAACTATACCCCAAAAGAGGTTATAGTTTACCATATTATCGAAATGTCTTATCGGCTTTCCCCTCCCACGATATATATCAAAACCCCAACCTAAGTAGAGATCCGACGACGCAAAAACAAGTAAATAATGCCATCCGACACGTACAATCTGCAGAAGTAGACGGCAGC